GGGGGTGGGAGGGAAGAGGGCGCCCCGTAGGGGGAGTATGGGTTACAGGAGCGTGAGAGTGTTGTTGCAGAGGCCGAGAGGTCAGCGGATCACCCGGAACTCGCGCTTAGACTTATACTCGTGCGGATTTTGCTCCAACAGCCAACGGCGTTCCCCTCTTTTTTAAACTCATGTACTTGCATTTATTTTAATGGCATTATTTTTTTGATCGGATTATTTCATTTTAGCAGGGGGTGGCTTTTTTTTTTTTTGAATACCTTGGAGAATTGTTAGGGAATTTTTGAACGGTTTTTTTTGGATTTTTCATTTTTTAATTATAACTCTTTTTTGGCGGTCTTTTGGGAGTGTTTTTTTTCTGGGGAATATTCCTCGTTTTTGGAAGGGGAGAAGAGCAGATTTTTGAATTTGAAAGAAAACGCGGGAATTTCAAGAAAATGGGGGATTTATTGGAAAATTTGAGAATCTTATTATTCTTTACTCTTTCGTCTGATTTTGGGATTTGAAACAATTGAATTTTGGAGTCGTTTTGGGGAGCCATTAACAAGTTCAAAGAGATATTTTGAATTTGAAACCAGAAAATAGACCGCGCGAAATTCAAATTACGTTGCGTTACACCGGAAATTTGGGGTGTAATGGATAATCCGAATTAGTGACTGGCAATATTTCCAGAAAAACGGAAGACGAATTGAGAGGTGAAAAAAAAAAATGAGAGGAGTTGGGAAGGGTCGAGTACCGCGGAGAGACGCGACCGCGACCGTTGCCGGGAGGTCCCGGGGTTCGGGATCTTGGAAAGACGTTCCTCGGTGGAATGTCGGTAATTTCAAAGTACTAACGCCGACTTGCCCGCTTCGCTTTACCATTACATCTTGCATATCAGAACGAAACGACGGATATTATGCAGTGCCTCCCTCCTACCTCCCTTCAGCCACCCCCTCCATCCCCGCCCGATCATTTCCTCATTTTTTTTTTCTCGACATTTTTTTCGCGGCGCCTTGTTATTAGCGTCAGACACAATCACATCCAGATATAAAAAATAAAAACTAAAAAGACAGCTGCGATGAATTTTTTTTTCTTTCGTTATTTTTAGTTTTTATTTTTTGCGTTGAAGAAAATTCACTCAATGAATATTCATACTTTGAACCTTGCGGGAAGACATGTCCGGGTAATAAAAGAATAAATAAAAAAATAAGTTTCCACGATTGACGGATTTATTTTCTTGGAAAATGTAGGGAAAACAAATGGTGAAGATGAAAAATTTGAGATAGTGAGGTATTGAAAAGTTCTTACCTTGTTGAAAATAATTAGCTTTACGTAGAAAAACACATACTAGTGCCATTAGCTGTAGCTGAGATAGTCTCTGTCGTGTTGACGGTGGCAGTGGCAGTAGATCACGTAAATTCGCGATTTCCGCGTTTATCAGGTCCCTTCGTAGTTTGCTCGCACCTTTCGTCGATTTGCTCGCATCTATCCTTCAAGTCACAGGGTATTTTACGCACTCTCGTACAACACATTTCCATCATATCCAATCACCCAATTTTCCCCTCCCGCATTTTCCTCTTACACCCCCTCAATCTGACCTTCAGCCCAATCATTGGTCGATTTTTCCCGAGTTTTTCGCGGGTAAAAATTCAAAATTCCTTAGCCCCATGCGCCATTAAAAAAATCGCGGAAATTTCCAATTCAATCCACGAATTCCCCGAATTTCCCCAGTCCTCCTAATTACCCCCCACCCCATATTTTTCACACTAAAAAATTCAACTTCTCGTTACAAAAAAAATTTCGCCAAAAAAAAATGGAGACAATTCGTTATGAGGTCAATATTCGGAGGGTACAATCCACCCCTACGGAATTTTCCATAAATAATCATGAAAGTAACGATCAGTTGAATTACAAATAAATCCTTAATGAATTATGTACTTACCGATTGAACATATTTTTTTATCCAGTGCGATGACATTAGTAATACCTTGTGACACTAATTATAAAATTTTCATCAAAAATCCATGAATAGCAATGTTACATCCGGGTCGGCAGGTACACGCGAAAACTTGCAGCTGCAATCTAACATCCGGGTCATAACGCGCTACTACCACTGAACACGTGGATACTGGCAGAGGCACGTTCTCTCCTACCTTTACTTTGAGCCCCAACAACGTTTTCTGTATAACTCCCCATTCCCCCCCTTAACCGTTCCCCCCCCCCA